TTCCAAATGAAAGGACATGATAAGTGAACGCCAAGACAAACATATGGGTGAGCTGAGCGACTCGAAATGAGGCAGACTCGATTTGTAGCTAAGCTTAAGTGATGTTGGACAATTTATGTATTATTTGTTATTATTTATTTGACCGACGGACGGAACCCCAAAAAATTACCCTCTTTTTTCGTCAGATTTCGTCATAATTAGCCTCCCTGATGTCAATTTAGTCGATTTTGCGACGTTTAATTTTTTGCGCGATTACAAGTAGAGTCAGGCTTCGCCCAGCTCAATTATTGGAACTGAGTTATGACGGGAGAACGTCAAAGTTTGCTCCTCGATGCGATATAAATTGCTCAATTTTCGGACGTACAACTTCGGCCAATGAGCCTCAAATTCAATTCCACATACGCTCTGCTCTCAGTTCTGAGGGGTGAAATTGCTGGGGCGAGTGTAGATCATTATCTAAAATATATTTCCCATTGAATGCCCGATGGAAAATCGATGGAGCTCTTTTAATTGCAGCGAGAGTCCTAATGACCGACTCACTTCCTGGCGACTTTTACATTTTCGTGTTTGCCCTCCTTCCTGCAATTTGCTGCTACACTCCACATCCGCTCACGCCCACAAACCCCATGGGAGAACTGCTGAAGATGCTGGGCATATTTTCCGGGAATTTTGTATATGTGAAATTCCATGAAGTTTCATTTTTGCAAGAAAATGGTTTTTTTATGGGAAATCTCAGTGGAGATATGCGAAGGGAAATAAAAGCTCTGGGAATTTGTGCTTGAATAGCCAAAGTATAGACTTTCCCCTTGTCATCCATTAATGGAAAAATATTTTATTGACCTTTGTATAGCCACTATACAAATTTTCCCGCACTATCTCAATTTTCTCTCGTGCATCAATAATTCTCCCCATTTGCGTACATTCAACACAACAAAGTGTGGAAATGAGGATTCTCTATTATAAATTTTGGCGAATAACACAGCAATTACTCATGGCAATTCTCACACATTTTCTCAATGAAAATTTGGTTTTCACACTTCACAAGACAGCATTCGAACTAATCAAAGGTGAAATTTAATCAAAAATGGCAAAGATAAGCTTAAAGTCTGCCTCCTTTCCCACCACACATTTTCAACCCCAATGATTTTTGCTGTCGGTTCTCCTGAAGAGATGAATGAAAAAATGCAAATGAGTGCCGAAATGAATGGCAAAAGAGTACTGTGTGTATCTCACACTGAATTATTCATCTCCTCTTTGACCTATTTGCCAAATGACAACAATATACAATGTCCTCTGGATAGATACAAATTTATCTAATGGCTCTGGCGAATGCTAATGAATTCCACAGAGATATGGCTAAATTATTTATAGAAAAGACCATATAATCTTAGATAACTGGTGGGCGAAGTCTAATGCAATATTGAAGATACAATTCTGCTCAAAATTCCATGCCGTTGACTTCTCAGAATGTCTGCCAAAGGATTCTTGCATTGTTTACAGTTCTTTTCATTCAATTTTAGAACAATTATCACGAGCGTCTCTCGCAATGTCTTCACGTATTAATTTAGCCTCTTCTGGCGACCCTTTCTCATCGCCAGACACTCACTTTGTACATGAACAACACTCGCGCTGTACATAAGAAGGAGTGCTTGGCAAATTTGAGCAGAAAAGCAGAGAAGAAAAGGACGAATAAAAACTAAATCGTAGAGATAAAGGGCACTTAAATGGATCTCTTTGGCTGGTAGAATACATCTCTTTATCTTAGGGAACAAGATGAAATATTTATACGTCGAATGAGCCCAAGGGGCTCAGTTTTATGGTGCCCAACACCAAGCATCAGCATTCCACCCTTCGGGAGAGCGCCTCTGACGCGGAGAAGAAGCCAGCCAGAAGATGGAATATTGTCCCTCGATATTGCGATTCATTCAACTACCCAGAAAACACAATCATTATAGTTGGTAAATAATACTTTGCAGAAGATTTGGCTTCCCATTCTCTGGGCGACATTCCAGAATTTGTCACTCTCCGCATGTAATGATGTTTGGCTTTAGGGGAAAGTGGCTTAGTTTTGCGGAAAACTACATCAATTTTAAGTATGAGAAAGCAAAGTGTCGAGTCTTGGTGCCGAAATTTCCCCGCTCCTCCCTAATGATGGTGTTTCTGAGTGCGGATTACCCAATTTGCTGGAGATTGAATCAGACGTGTGAGCCGAGTTGATGTTCCACTGTTCACCCAGAGTGTGGTATCCAATAAAGTTTAGGAGGACAACAATGGAGGCGAGATAAGAAAATGAAATGATAACGAAAGCAAGGATTCTCGGTGGGTCAAATCAAAATCTCATCTCACACTCTCACGCTAAAGTACTTCGCATCCGAAATTCAGGGCTAAATTGCTCAAAATAATTGTATAAAAGCATATATAGATAAATATTTCTCATTTTAATACCACTCCAATTAATGAATGTTTGTCGGGTATCAAAGTTATTTTTACGCGACACATCAGAAAACTCGCTCCCACTCATCTTTCGCATTTTCACATCTCGCTGAAATTGTGTTTGTTTTGAGAGATCACGAAAATGTTTGAGCTCCTCTTCGTGTGCCTGTAATTACGGGAGATTGTCAACGTGTCTGGGGCTGAATTTGATTTCATCCCTTTCAACAAAGTCCCAATTAGCACCATCACGAGCTTGACACACACATTTTACCTCAGATCCACCTTTGCCCGCCCCCAAAGCACGCATTAGCGACACATAAGCGCCCAACTCCTCGAGGATTCCCAAGCGCGGATCATCATTCCACATTACCGAAATGCTCGGTGACATAAATGTCAAGATGTTCTGGCGTGCTGAATTTCCACCTCTCATGCGGAAGAGCAAAAAAGGTGGATGAAAAGAAATACAGACGATGACTTGCCTCACAACAGTTTTGACAAGAGGTTTTGATGTGAGCAAATATGGTTACGCCAGAATTTGATAAGCCCTCATCAATGGTGTGAAATATTTGCTCTGCAGAGTCTCATATTTTGATTATGCAAAGTGTCCTTGTTGTCATTTAGCCGTTCATTCACTGTGACTGCAATTATACAGAAGATACGTTACAATGTTGTGAATTAAATATCCATTTGCATATTAATGCAACTTCTGGTCATAAATGTCATCAGAAAGCAATGTGATAAGAGGCAAAATGGCATGAGCTTGATTTTTAGTGAAAATACAGGGAAAATATCACTGACAATATCACAATGTCGAGAAAAGTTGATGAATGCTTAAGCTTTTAATGTTCAGAATAGACAAAAGCTTCTTTCTAATCCCTTCAAATGTACCTTAGATTATCTAAATTCAACAATAAGAACCCAGAATTATGTATCTTTTGAAGATTAAAATGTTTAAATTTAATGCTAAATGACAATCTTGGTGTAATTCAATCAATTTCAGCCACCAAAACAGAGAGAAAACAAGTCTTTTCCCCCCCAAAATAAAATGTAATTTCAATTACTTTAGAAGTTATTGTGCTGTAAAAAAGGTTTTTAATGTCTTCTGAGATACTTCAAAAGGTGTTACAGCACATTGTACAGCGGGAAAATGTTCTACGCCCTCATCGGAATGTGAACACAAAAGATTTTCCGTGCATGCGGGGCGCGGAACGCCCCTTGAGATAATAAAAGCGTCACATTGTCTTCCGCGGAATATCTCAAGTGGGAAGTTAATAACAACTGTTCTAACCACGCAGCGACAATCGTGACAATAATGTGAAAATGGCAGAGATTTGAGACTCATCCAGAATTTTATTGTCACGTCATGTGAAGTGGAAAATGAAGTGTAAATTAATCGATAACTCGGACAAAGTCCATTAAACTCATTTAAACTCCAACTATTTTCCTAGCAATGTTTCGACTATCGAGAAAAGGCGAAACTTTTCCACTATTATAATCACCATTTTCGTTCAGGGTGGATTTTTTTTGCGCCTTTCTGCGCGGCTGGTAAGGAACATTTCTCCCAAGAATGACTGGCGAAATCTTGTATCTCACCCTCGAGGCTGTTAATTGCATTTATATTTATTTTCCCACTCACGAGCGTGGAGGAAGTTTTCTCCGCTGCGGAGCTTGCGAAGTGATTATTTCTGGGTGGAAAAGTTTCGGCTGTTCCGCTAGCAATTATCTTTATCGATATGCTTTATTATTGTGGTAAATTGCATTTATGAAAATGCTGCGCACACGACGAATAGACGCGTAATAAGTGCGGTTTTATGAGTTTCTCTGTGAACTTGGCTATGAGGAAAGTGCCTCAAAATTCCCACGAAAAGGTGTTAGTGAGTAAAACTATGTAGAAAGTGAGGTGTTTTGCATTGCGCTTAACAGGTGTCAATATTGAAATTACGTCCAAATTAATTATTCCTTCACACTGTAACTTTCCTTACACCAAACTATTCTAATTAATTGCATGAAACATTCATTCGCCGAGCGACATTAACTGGAAACCGACATTCCCAAGCGCTGTGCCGCACATTTATGTAACCTGAGACTCGTTCACTACTTTATTCGCATCATACAAACCCATCGCACACTGTCACACGTGACTAGTTTTGATATGTTTTAAATTGGCCATTTATCCGTGACGTTTAGTATGAATTTCATTACCGCACTCCAAGCGCCGAACACTCAATTGCCACTTTAATTGACTCTCTTCGCGTGATTTGCTCCCATTTCTCGGGAAATTGTAGAGGGAAATTCCCCCAAATCAACAATCCACGCTCGTCAATTCAGTGGCGCGCAGTGTATAAAAATTGGCTCGCGATTGTGCATAACCGACATTTATTTAACATAATTGAATGACATTAATAATGTTGAAACCTGTTTATTTTATTTCACTCTTTGTTTATCAATGTGTCGCGCTGTGGTGAAAAAAATAGGTGTATTAATTCCAATTGAAATCACCTGTTTGTATGATTTGTGCTTTTTTTCCATCAACACCTCGAATTCGGCTCACTTTTGTGATTGCGCGCCAAAAGCTACAATGACTTGAGAGTGAGAAATGGTGTGAAGGGAACGCGAATCATCAAAATACCTTGAAGAACTCGCAAAATATGACAAATATGGAGTTCAAAGAAGAGATAATGTGATCAGAAATTGTGTGCAGCAAAGCAAATGCAAGTAGAAGAAGGAAATTGGCACAAAAGTTTTCAATATTCTCACACGAAACGCGGGAGAATGAAGAAATTACACTATCTTAAGCGCTCAGATAAAGTTCTGGATCTAGAAGTGTTTGAAGATTCTTCATAAAAATGGCAGAAGTGACAGAAAGTGCTGTACACATTTCAAGCACACTCTCTTCCTCCCAGTTTAGTTTGTCAAGTGCGCTCTCGGAAAGCTCAACTCACTCGCAAGTCAATCAAAGCGTGCGCTTATCCACTCTGTTTTTCGCTAACGTTGTGGCTTTTTTTTCGGCGCGAAAATAAATTTTGTCGCTCTTCCATTGAACTTGACAGAACGGTGCTAATAATGCTGGTCTGAGCGAGAATCCCAGAGGCAACCTTGGAAACTCTGCAAATCAGATGATTAACATAGCGAAGGGCCTTGAATCCCACCGACTTGGCGTACGCTCTTCGTGAGGTTTTTCACTACGCACCCAATTCTTTCCGTGCACTCCAATATAAAGGCGACGCCACGATAAGAATTCGGGCCAGTTGACTGGCGTTCTGCAGTTGAGGAATCCAGCTCTGGTGCACCATCGTGGTAATAAATGACGAGCACCTGTGAAGTCGACAAGTCGAGCGCTCTCAATCGCCATGATTGTGTGTAATTTTCGCGCGGGAAAAGTCTCTCAATCGTTGTGTGAAAAAGTTCTCCTTTTGTGCTTGCTTGCGGAATTTCCTCTCGCCACAGCCCTCATTAGGTGACAAAGTCGCTCGCCTTTCCGCCCTGTGTTTGTGACAATAATCACGCAAATGAGTGCATTTTCCTCTTTCTCTCTCCCAACAATAGAATCTACTGGAATGTTCCGACTTTTATGTGCACAAAGTACGGGATTCACTTCAATGACGTGGAGAAGGAATTCGGTGTAATCCAGAATGTGAACGACACATTTAGGTAATGAAATTTATCAGAGTGCCAACCATAAAATGAATTAATGGCGAAAAAGGAGACCAAAGAGGGACTCTTGAAGAGGAAAAATAATCTATTGACTTCAGATCAAGGACACAAGAAGAGAGAGAGAAAGTTTCCAGTCTTTGTTGTTTGTGGAAAAGTAAAGTAAAAAAAAAGAAATCCAGCACAACAGGGAGAATGTGTGTAACTTGAGAAGTTGATTGATAGTGTCGCTTTTCAGGGGAAATGAAATTTCCATCCTCTACGATCCGGGAAACTTTCCTGCCTTGCTGGAGAACTCGTCGTCAGGGCGACTCGTGAAGCGAAACGGCGGCGTTCCGCAGGAAGGCAGCCTGGCTGAGCACTTGAAGATCTTCAGCAAGCATTTGGATGAACTGATTCCCAACAAGGACTACGAGGGACTCGCTGTGATTGACTTTGAGTCGTGGCGCCCGGTTTTCCGCCAAAACTTCGGCACTCTGCAGCCGTACAGAAACCTCTCGATTCGCATCGAGCGAGAGAAGCATCGAAATTGGCCGCATCGTGAAATCGTGAAAGAGGTTTGGGTATTTTCCATCCAATTGCCTCACTTCTGAGGGCCAATGTTTGACACCATTTCAGGCCGCCAAAGTGTTCGAGAGCGCCGGCAGGAAATTCATGGAGCAGACACTGAAGAGGGCCAAAGCGGCGCGCCCCAAAGCACTCTGGGGCTACTATGCATTTCCCTACTGCTTCAACGGCAACTCGCGTGATCCGCTTTCCTGCTCAAGTGAGGTGCAGCAGGAAAATAACAGGTCAGTGTTTTCCTCTTCCAATACCAAATCCGCCAACAGAGAAACACGAGATAATTCCATAGCGAAAATCGGTCTGAAATGCTTCAATGTGAGAAGATTTTTAACACTAGATGTACTGAAAAATTTGCAGATTTCTACAAAACAGACTTGCGGTAATCCTTATACATAATTGACATTTTGTAATGTAATTTAAGGACAATGATTTCTTTATGACACGAACGAATTAGCTCATAAAATACGTCGTAAATCTTCAGTGTGCAATTGGCAATACGATAAGACTCTTCAAATTAATCGTCTTACTTCTTTTCAAACATTTTAGGTCAAGTACAGTGAATGAAATTGTATTTTTCTTACTTCCTCAAATGTCTATAATGGGTATAATTATAATTTGTTTTGATATGTCGAGTGTTGAAGCTTTAAAAATCTCTGTTTGCAAGCTGTTGAGATTTCTCGAATTATGCAATGCTTGTTTAACTCTTCCGCTTGCCAAAGGCACTGATATTTTTCCGTCTGCACGAGTGCTGATAGAGCGTCAGCCTGAAGCCTCAGACAGACTCTCGAGGGATTAAATGGGAATTGAAGTGCTTGAGAGATAAGGTGTCTTTGCAGAATCTTGTGGCTGTTCGAGAACTCAGACGTCATTCTGCCCTCGGTGTATCTCACCGAAGCCTGGGCGCCCAACATGCGGAAGAGCATCGTGAAGGGCCGCGTCGGCGAGGCGAACAGAGTCGCGCGGGCCACGCACAAGAAGCCGCGACCTCAAGTGCTGACATACATTCGCTACGCCTACACAGACACCTTGAACTTCCTGAGTCAGGTCAGCTTTGAGCGCAGTGTGCCAAATGTGACTCTTATCAGAGACAAAATTTTCGCAGGCTGACTTGTACGACGCATTCAGCGTGATGGATCAGAAGAAGTCCGATGGCATTCTCTGGGGCAGCTCCAACGACCTCAATTCACAGTGAGTACACGCGCGCCTCGCGCCGCCCGCAATCATCCCTCTTTTCTTTTCACACCCAACAGCGCCAAGTGCCAGGGCTTCAGGAGGTATCTGGAGGATCAATTGGGCCCCATTCTTCGGATCTTCACAAAACCAAAGTATTCAATTCAGGGCGTCATTCATCAACAATGGCATTGACTGCACGGAGCGTGAGTGAATGCGAGCCGGCGAAAATTCCGTGTCTTTTCACCGTGTGTTAAATTAAATTTCACTCCCATTCAAGCCATTCACAATCTCACAAACATCATTTTCCACCCACTCGATATGTGATTTCACGCCACAATCGCCAACATATTGAGACAGCTCGAGTGATGTCAAGGAAAAGATAAATAAATTGCGCTAATCAATTGTCGTCTGGCCATTTTTTACCCAACAAACGAAATGAATTTACACGTCTAATAGTGAGAATTCCAGTCTGAGACACGAAGAAGTGGAATAATCTGGAAAATTCTTGATTTTTACGTATTCAGATTAAAGCAACACAGAATTGAAATGATAAATATGACGCACACGATTAAGAAACTTCTTGCAAAACCACAGCAAATGAATGGAAGTCTGAACTATTTTCATCTTAGCCATAATTGACTACTCTGTAACCACGCAAATGTAAAAACAACATCGCTTTTTATTGTGTAATTTCCAAATTGGACAGCAGAGCAAGAAACATAATTAATTTCCCAAAACTGCGAAAGATCAAAGTGGCGAGAAACTTGGAATTTTCCACAAATATTCTGGGGTGAAATGTCAAGAATTGCGCTCATGTGAAAGACTGAGAAATTCCTCGTGATGTGGGGCTGTGAGATGATTGTGAGCCACAGAAAGGGCTCGTGAAATAATTTTCCACAGACGCGAGCTTCATTTCCACTTAATAAAAATTCAGTACACAGCTTGAAATGCCTTTTTCCACCCTCTTTCACCCACACACGCCTCAATTGCTGTTGTGTCCGCATTTTGCCGTGATTTCTCTATTCTTCAGCGCGCACTCGGAGGGGCGCTGGAAGACGCTCTTGTGGGTGGCTCAAAGGTTGACGGTGTGAAAGGGGCTCGCAATTTTGCATATTCAAATTCAGCGCCCAAGGCGGCGCAGATGTGAGGTCGGGCGAACAAGAGAGAGACATTCTTTCGCAACGAGATCAAAGATGTTTTTGTCGGTGGTTGAGCATTGGAATAAATGACTTCAATGTCCAATCAACTTGCCAAAGACGGGAGAGAAATCGATTCTCAACAGGATGATTAATGGATTTCCCTTGCTTCTCTTCTCCCGCGTGCGGAAAAAAGCAGGGGAACAGAAAAAAAAACCTGGAAGCATCTCAATTCTCCCCAAGGATAAAAAAGGTTAAGTAGTTAATAGAAAATGTTCGGAGAGCATAAAGTCCCTGCATCTCGCAGGAAAGTATGCCAGAATTTGCAGATAATGAAGTGGGTATTGAAAGGAGGGCACAGAAAAAAGACCCCGGAATTGAATTATTTATTTCCCGAGACCTTCCAAGTGGGAGGAAAAAAAGGATTCGTGAAGGAAAGTGGCGCAGATTGTTGGGAGTTGAGATTTCCTCAACAAAAAGGAGCACAATGTTGCCGTCGACGGAGGCAATTAATATTGTGGAATTGAATCAGGAAAATACACCATTTTTGTCATTTCCTCTGCCATTAATTTAAGCATTTAATTGATTAAATATATCTACGCTGTGGAAACAATCTCAGTGTGTCTTTCGCTTGACATTGAATCTTCTGTGGAATCTCTACTCGACTTGAGAGCTTTTTGTAGCATCTTTGCTGGGAAAAAGGTGAAAATAAAGTCTGGGGAAGGAAGAGCAGATTCAGCAAATGTTGCCAAAAAGCCACAGAAAGGAGCATTATTTCTCATATCAGCTTTTACACTGAACAAAATACAATCGCATTCGAATATTTTCGGATTTCTTAGACAAATTCATATTCAAATAAGGCTCCTTTAACACTTGAAATACCTCAGTGTATCGCTTTGTGTATCTTTAATGAAGAATCTCATAGAATCAATATTGGCACAATAGAATATGTTCACAGATTGTAATACAAATAATTGCAAATACGGAATTGTTAGCACTTTGGCTTAGAAATATGAGGCTCAGGTGGGAAATAATCTGTTGTGTTCAAAATTTCCCTTGAATTCCTCTTCTTTTAGTTTTTGAGACAAACTTTACAGGGCTTCAAAAGGTGAAGGAAGTCTAAGGAATTCCTAAACAAATGACTAAAGCTTCTTACACTCTTCAGAAATTTGCCGAACATTTTCTGAAGCTTGCACTCAATCTTTGGAATTGATACAATAATTGCTGGCACCGCAATTCACTTTCCGATGGTTCAAATTTATATAATCTTTAATTTTTTCCCACGATGTTTGTCTGTTTTCTGCATTTTTAATGGTCTGTTCTATGCTTAGAAACCTTCATTTTCATAATTAAACACGAGTAAAGGGTTCTAAATATATTTTGCAGGTGAATTATCCACTCCCTCTCAAAATGTAGCAACAAATTTAGCATCAATCGATGAATTTGAATACATTTAGCATTGTCACTTCAACAAATTGCTCTACTCTAATGACAACTCTCTCGTGACGTTTTGCGAATATCAGGGAGGAACGATTCATTCGCCAGTAAGTAATTTAGATGACTGTTGCGGCTAAATGCGTATCACGGAAGAAATCCCAAAGGCCATCGCGCGAGAGAGCAGAAGGGTTGATGTGCGGCGGCATAATTCATCATCCCGCAGAGAAAACCGAGCCGCTGAAAGACTCGAGGGGTGTTTTCTTTATAATTAACTTAAGTGCTTTGCGTTACACAAGCAACAGCCGTGAATTCCCTTTCGCCACAGTAATATTAATAGGCAGAAGCTTTTGTTTGCTTATTTTTAGCCTTCAAGTGGAATTTTCACCTGTGGCGAAAGTTGATTTGTCTGCAAAACTAAATTAATTAAAAAGCAAAATAAATGCCCGAGAGACGCGCGGTTTATGGGCATCCCCTTTTTCGCACAAAAAGTCAGGCCTGAACTTTGTCTATAAGGAAGACAGCGTAGAAAAGTTTCATCTTCACTCCCGGAATGTTGGGCCAGGATGGAAAATAATTTCATTAGAAATTAAGGTGAACAACTTCCCTCCATCTCGGCTCACCTGTAATTGCGCCGAGTGGCGAATCTTTTGGGGATTCCATTAAAGTGTGGGGGGCGAATTAAATTTTTGCTCCCGATTCACCTGCTCGCCACCCTGAATGTTGGTCAACATTGCATACAAATTTATCATCGTCAAGCATTGTGAAACGGCCCGGAAATATGAGAAGCTCATGTGTGACACCATAAAAGCATAAGAGGGAATATTGTTTTACATTCGTGTCATTTCCACAAATATACAACTTCCTCCTCTCGGCAAAAGGGTAAATGACAAATGAGCAGAATACCTTCCAAACTTCCCTCTGAAATTTACGACGACGCTCTCTGCTGTAGTGGCTGTAAAAGGCAAAGAAGACTCGTGAAGCACTTAGAAGTGGTAAATCAATTTCTTCTAGCAAAACTCCCAGCATATTTTTGCGAATAAAAATTCTCTAAAAGTCACCGTAAAAGGTAGGAATATACCATTTGTTATTTGCTTTTTGCGCGCGCCATCCTAAAAATCATATCATTTGCGACCTGATCAAGAATTCATGTGAAATATGCACAAGGAGCATAAATCTCTCCCTCTTGCATTCCGCCTGAGCTTTTACTCATAAATTGACGTGAATGCCAGTGCTTCTGAGGAGGATAACATGTACATTTTACAGTGACACCGGCTGAGGAGCTTTGGCATCGGGGAAAAGTTGATTTACCTCGCGTATTCCGCCAAAGACAGAAAATGTGTCGTGTGAAACATTGGCAGGATTGGCTCGGGAAATGGAGAGGACCATAAATAAAATTTACTGCTTATAAGCCATAGAAAGCTGGCAAAGTACACGCACAATCCTTCCCAAAATCCAACCCAACACTTCGATCCCTGAAACATTGCCTGCGAATGAATGGAAAGCAATATTAAATTTTATTAAAACGCCGAAAATTACAATCTCATTTGCATTCTATGAAATAAGATAAATTTCCCGGCGCGCGGAGCTTTTTACGATTCCATGGCTGTGTGTGTTATTTGATATGTGTCGGATTTATACTACACACATTTCCCACCCGCTTTTTATGTTCACAATAAATCCGCAAAAGTCCTTCTTCTCACATTTTCCTGTCCCTTAAAATCTATTCTAGTTGTGTCTCGACGGGATTTGCCATCGGTTTCACTGCCAAACAGCGCCTGATCTATGCCACAGAGCTTTAAGCTCTCAATCCACTTCATTTTCTTCTGCTCCTCATTCGCGGCATTCTCAATGCAGTGTGTGCTTTCGATATGTGCGCGCAAAAAGCCACCACAACGTGCAATGACTGTGACATATGTCTCTCCTTGGCAAATGTAATTTGCTGTGCGCGCCCATAACGAGGTTTCCCCGGGAAACAGCGCGAATCTGCCTTCGTCAATGCCGGGATTTATGACAAAATGAAATCAAGACGAGTATGGAAAATAAAATACTTTTCAAACGTAATAAGGAGCAACCAAAATTCCCCAAATTTCATTCAGTCAATATTACGTTCCGGAGAATGGAAAAGCGTCTCAAAATACAGATTCTCTTCGGGAAAATAAAGCATTCAAAGAGATTCATATTTGCCATAGCGGAGGCTTGTATTATTTTGAACATTATATAATTGACTGACTGAAACTTAAAAAAAAAAATTGGGAATATTCTTGACTCTTCATTCACGCGTACTTTAGAATTCACCCGAGAAAGACTAACAACGAATTCATAGAGAATATGAAACTTAAAAGAAAATTTATGTTCCAATTAAGTGAGTTTTTGCACAAAACCGACATAAATTATAAATTGCAAAGTTTCTGTTTGAAAAACGTGACTCTATACAAGTTTCTCGAACTATCTTCAGTTAGATTGTTTAAAATTCAGCAGGAAAAGTGCGAAATTGAGAAAAATTGTCCACAAAAGTAATTTGTCGTTGGTCCTTAGTGTTCCTCTCGTTCCTTTTCTTCCAAGGTGAAGAATGTGGTAATAATAATAATGTCAATTGCTGTAATCCTGTCGGCAGAACGATTTTAACGGATGCAGAAAAGGTGTGAAAAGCAATGAGATTACTGCAAGAGCCGCCGAAAAGTCTGGGAAAAGAGCGAACTTGATGGACGCTGTGTTTGTGGCAATTTTCCAACTGGCCCATGAAAAATAAGCACGAAAGCTCTGTCATGTCAATAGCGCGAGAAGAGCATGAAATGCTGTCAACAACCGAGGACAGAAATTGCCCAAAGAAGTCTCTTCTCTGAATTACAGGCGGAAATCGATCTCCCGAGCGAGCTTTTTTTTTTTCCTCAGAAGCGCACAAAGAGACGGCATTTTTTGGAGTATTTTTAATGATTTGCAGATAAATATTTATTGAAAATTTTCTCTTTCGGCAGGCCTTTTTCACTTTGCGCCCATGAAAGTATCGACAATTGAATTTTATCCACACAACATGTTCCATCTGTGAGATGAAATCACAATAAAGTGCGAGATAACAGTAAGCAAACATTTGCTTTTGCCTCTCCTTCGCGTGTGCTTTCAATTTCTTCCCCCTCAAAAAGCGCCACGTGAGGCTAAAGCGCGAGTCATAAACACGTTTTTCATTCGGCACTGCATGAGAAATGTAATTTTCTCCCACAGCATCGCGGATCAAGTGCCAATTTTAATGATTTTTATTAGCCACTCACGGGTGAAAAAGCTCAATTCGGAAGCATTTATTGCTGCACTATAAAAAGTACTGACTTAAATTCACTTTTTTGCAGACTGTGCGATAAAAATGATTGT